GTATATCGAAGACGATAATCGATATAGATTTAAGAAACTTAATATATTTTAATTATAGAAAGATAGGCTATATAAGACGCGATTATCTAATATAGAGATAGACTAACGCTAATAAGAAGGCCTTATAAAAGATAGAAATTTATGAACTTATTATCGATAACGAATATAAGATAAATCTACTAGTCGACGCTTACGAAGTCTCTAAGAATTTAGAAAATAAATAGCCTCTATTAAAGTTACGATAAGAGGGAATCTTATAATATATATCTATTAAATACTTTTAATAATTCTTTAATACGCCGTTCTTTTAGAATATAAGTAACGCTATCGTTATAGAGAAGAAAATACTTACTTTAGAACGTATTCTTATCGATAGTAAGTATATTAAGATATATATAGTTATTAATAAGTCTCTAATTTATAGAGTTTATAAAGAATTACTATTAAAATCGATTTTACTATCGAAATCTAAATCTCTAAAGAATTATGAATAATCGAATCGTAAAGAAGTCTATTATCTACTATTTACTTTCGATAATAATAGTAAATAATTATCGAGAGGGAACGTATTCTATACTTATCGCCCCTCTTATATATAATATAATTCTAAGAAAATTATAAATAAATAAGTATAAGAGTACTTCTCGATATAATAAAAGATAAGATTCTTTTTATATTAGATCGCTATAATTATAACGATAATAAGATCTCGATAGTAGAGAATCTCGCTATCTTATTAAATTCGAAATCGAAACCCTCTATTCTATAGACTATCTTAAAGAAAGAATCTTCTTCTCTAACTTATATATAACGACGACTTAAACTCTACTATCGACTTAAACGTCTCTTAGCGAATTAATTAATAAGAAGAGATTAATATCTACTTTTTGAGACGTAAGATAAAAATAAGATATAAATCTATAATTTATTAATATCGTCGAAATTAATATTATATTATACTATTAATTAGCGCGTAATAAGAGAAATCGTCTATTTACTCTTATTATAAATGAGATCTATAACTCGCTATTAAAAGAGTTATCTCTTTAGAAGAAATTATGTAATTCTCGCGTATTAATTAATAAGCTATATTCTTATAACTTAGAAAAGAAGTATAAGAGATACTATAAATCGAATTATTCTATTTAAATTAGCGCTATTAAAATCGTTAGCTCTAAAGATATTAAACGAAAACTTCTTATAAAGTATTACGACTATTTAAATATTTTCGATAGAACAAAGACGAATAAACTATTATTATACCGCTCTTATAATTATAAACTAAAATTTATAGAGATCGATATCGTCGAACTATCGAAGAGTTAAGTCTATTCTATATTAGAATATAAGTTAAAATAGATTAAGAAGTATTTAAATAAGTATTTAAAAAAGGGTTTTATAATATCTAGTTATACTTCGTTTGTATCCTCTATTCTATTTATTGAAAGAAATTAAATAAGAGGTCTACGCTTTTATATAAACTATCGAAGACTAAATATTATTATTAAGAGAAATCGATATTTAATTTCATTAATAGATGAGATTCTCGCGAGAATTTAGAGCTATAAATATCTTACTCGATTAGATATTATAGTCGTATTTAATAAATTACGTATATACTTCCGATAGTAAGAATTTTATTATATTTGTTATCTTTCTCGACGTATATAAGTATTAAATACTTCTCTTCGATCTAATTAATAGTCTAGTTATCTATTAATAATATATAAATAATATTCTATTCGAGTATCTAAACGACTTCTATTAAGTCTATCTCGACGATATTCTTATTTATAATTAATCGAGAAAGAAATATATTACGTATATTCGAAAGATTCTTTAAAAGCTATAAGAGATCGAATTATAGATAGATATTCTTAAATATGAATTTTATATTTAGAAGACGAAATTTTTAGATCTTCTTATTTCGATTAATAGTCTATAAATAAACTCTATTAAAATTTAAGCTATTATTAAATAATCTACTTCTCTATTAATTTAAAGGAGATATAGATCTTTATTAGCTTTTATAACTTCTATTATTAATTTATAAGAGACTTCTCGAAGATTATAAAATTAATAATAAAACTTATAGTTAAGAAAGTAATATTTGATTAATTATCGATCTATTAGAAAGTCTTTTATTTACTAAAGATAGCTATTATAAGAGCTTCGATTCTATACTATTTCGATAGATCGAAGAATATTATACTTAAAACAAACTTCTCTAATTATATTAATAATAATATTCTATTCTTAATATAATAACGACGAAGT